AAAACAGAGGACCGGAGGAGACTCACCGGTCGGCGGCACGTCTGGGAGGTCTCTGGCTGATCTACGGGCAACGGAAAGGCTGTCCAACGTTCTTCTCAGTCCCTGCAAACTCTCAAACCTCTCTTTTTCTCTCTGATTCTCCCTTCCTCTCTCTCTTTCTCTATGTGGCCGGGTCTATCCGCCTCTCCCTCTCCTCTTCTCTGGTCTTTTATTGCCGACGATGACGACGCCACTCTCTGCTCCATTAAATGCTCTGCACCGGCCTAAGCTCCTACCATGACTTTCGTGGCCAATTTGCGCGGTGTAGCGAGTATTCTGCGCTTCTCCAGTGGCGGTCGTGACAAAGGAGAACAGAGGAGAGAGAGGGGAGGCCAAACCGGGGGAGGTGGAGGAGAAAGGAAGCTGGGCCGGGCCAGACCCAGCTCGCGCGGGGGGGAAAAAAATGAAAGAAAAGCGGGCCGAGCCCGCGTGGGGGGAAAAAAGAAAAGGGCCGGGTCGACCCGGCCCAACTCGGTTTTTTTTTTTTAAAATTTTTTTGAAATTTTCTAATAGACCTATTAATATAAATGTGCCTAATTTCTATATGCAATGCATTTAAATAGAAATATTTTTTTTAGGAATTAAATAAAATTAACTCCTAAATTTTGTGTAATTAATTTTGGGCAAATTAAAATAGGTGTCAACATTAGCTTAGTCAATTCGTAGTTGATGCAGCATTTTACTTGATTTGGATATTGTTTCTTGCTTATTTGATAGGATTACGAGTTCGTCGACTTGAGATAGCTTTCGTAATTTGGTTTAGGCTTTTCCAGGTGAGTAGTGCTTATCTTTTCTTCAAGTTTGTAAAATTATATTTTAAAAATAATATGGATTAGATATATTTTGAGTTGTGAAATGGGTTTTTGTTGCATAAAATTTGGATCCAACATTTACTACCATTTTGATTATTTGAAATAGTATAGAAAGCATTTTTGGAGGAAAAATTACCAAAATAGTCTTAAACATATTGCAATTGTGCTAATTCAATCCTAATTTTTTTTTTGGTTAATTCAGTCATAAACCTTTGTATTTGTGCTAGTTCAGTCCATCCGGCCAATTTTGACAGGGCGGCGCTAACGTGGATGCCAGCCCTCCAGCCGATGCTGACGTGGCAATTTTTAAATATATATTTTTTTATTTTTTTTTTATTTTTTTCCTTTTCTTCTTCCTCTGGCCGGTCCAGTGACCGGCGACCGACTAGGGGCTAGGGGTCACTAGCCACTGGCAAGGGTGAGGTCAGCCGAGTAGCGGCCATGGCGAGGCTGCTTGGCCTCCATGAGATCTGGGCGAGATCGAGCGGCCTCGCCATGGTTGCTCGACCTTGCCGTCGGTCGCTACTCGCCTTGCTGTCACCCAGATCTGTGGCGACGGAGAGGTCGAGCAGCCATGGTGAGGCCGCTTAGCCTCGCCGTGGCCGTTGCTCGACCTCACCATGGTTGTTGCTTGGCCGACCTCGTCCGCGACGGCGAGGGCGAGCCTCACCAGTGGCCGGCGACACTGGCCGGTCACCGGTCCAGCCAGGGAAGAAGAAAAGGACAAAAAAATAAAAAAATATTTAAAAATTGCAACTTTAGCGTCGGCTGGAGGGCCAACGTCCATGTCAGTGCCGATCGGCCAAAATTGACCGGATGGACTGAACTAGCATAAATACAAAAGGTTTAGGACTGAATTAACAAAAAAAAGTTTATGATTGAATTGACACAATTGCAATAGGTTTAGGACTGTTTTGGTAATTTTTCCATTTTTGGAAATGATTTATGAGTTGATTATTGTGAAATGGTTTGAGAAATGCTTTGTGAAAGAGATTGCAAAAAGGTTTTATATAATGATTTATGAATTTGATTTATGAAAGGTATTCTATTGTGTAAGGGTATATGTTTGGTATTGTGAGAACGATTTATGATACATATTCTAGATTGGTTTTATGGAAAGAATTGATTTGTGAAAGAATATATGTTTTGGTTTGTGAAACCAATTGTGATATAGATTGGTTAAGACTAAGTGCCATATGGTGACGTAAGTCTCGTGAGAACCACCTCTACAGCCTTATAGTAAAAAACTAAGTGCTAAATGATGATGCGAGTCTCATGGGATCTGTGTCTAGGGTCTTGTTCTATTAATATGTGTTGGACAAGGGCTAAGCGCTACATGGCGACGCGTGTCTCGTGGAAGCCACCTCTAAAGCCTTGTACTATTACTATGTGTTCGTCAAGGATTAAGCGCTACATAGCAAAAAGCCACATTTAGGGTCTTGTACTATTTATATGAGTGAGTCAAGGTTTAAGTGCAACATGGTAATGCGAGTATCGTGAGAGCCATCTCTAGGGCCTTAACAAAAAAAAAAGTTTATGGTAGAATTGAAACTAGAAATAAAGTTAAGGATTTTTTATGGGACAAAAATATTAGGGTAGAATTAGGATCGGACCTAAAATAGGAGGTTTTTAAGAATATCAAGCCATGGCTTTTTGTATCTATCTATTTTTTTTAAAAAAATTGATAGTAACTCGGAAAAAAAAGATAACGACTTCTAATTTCCAATTTTCCCTGATAAAACTTTTTAAGAGAGGTATTTTTAAGATAAATGTTTTGCTTTTATTTGCTTAATTTGTATTAGATCTTGAGGGTGCCAACAACAGCGTTGTTTTGTCTCCAGTTTCCATTCGTTTCAGCGCTATACATAGAGCAAGCAAAAATAAAATATTAGGCAACAATATCAAGCTATTGCACAATACACGTCTAATTGCTCATGGACGATGGCCTTCATTCCACCTCTATTCTCCCTCTCAATAATTGAAGACTGTTCAAAACTCTTACGGTCATAATTTTTCCAAACGCATTACATAATGTAAGTTACATTCATTGCCAGTGACCAAAGGAAGTGTTCTCATAAATTCAAAGCGGAAACATCACTAACATCGCAAACAGAAGAGTCCAACACAGAGCAATCATTAGGTGAATGATGCGGCCCGTATTCAAGACCAGCTCGTTTAGCCAAGAAGAACGGCTCGTATTCAACATCAACAAACATCAAGAGTCTCATCGATAAGTGAAAAACCTCATCTTTGACTTTGTCATAAAAACTTATCATTTCCAATGTATCAAAGCTTGTATCAAGACTCCTTGAGACGGTCACAAGCATTGGAAATATTGTGTCATAAAAACTTATCATTTTCAATGTATCAAAGCTTGCATCAAGACTCATTGAGACTGTCACAAGCATTGGAAATATTGTACATTTAATGACTTATAGTTTCTAGATTTGCTTTTAGTCTTTTGCTTTTCTTTTATTTTACTACAGAAGGCCATCAAGTTTATGTACAAAAAGAGACTGAATTTGATTAATGAAATTTGCTTAGTGCAATTCACTTGAATCTCGAAGAGTTCGTACCCCTTGAAAATTTAGAAGAGTTTTCACTCCGTCCTTGAAAAATCAAAGCTTTTCAAGTCTGCATCCTTGAAGAGTTGTAGCCATCAATCTAGAAGAATTGATGCCATTTCAACTTCCTTGGATGCTTAGAAGAGCATCCACTGAAGTTCTTATCTTGTTCCGCATCCTTACCACTCACGACTGTCCACTTCCATCCTGAATCAACGGCTATATTGTGCTTATCTGAGAAAACTCAAAACATAAAAGTTATAAATCTAGAAGTCTTCATTCTTTTGGCTTTGGAATCAGGTCATTCTGATTTGTATTGACAAAGTTATGCCCATTTAACCTAACTAGCACGGAATTGAAATTTCTGCTCGATTTTGTTACGGAGTCTCGGTGTGTGCAAGTCACTCTGCCAACCATATTGTTCGAGTAGTCGACCTAATTCCGTCGCTAATTAGCAATGGGTTTAGCGACGAAATTAACTTTCGCGACACTTTCGCTACTGTTTTTAAAATCAGTCACTAAATCTGTCGCTAATTAGCGACGGTTTTAGCGACAAAGTTAACTTTCGCTACTATTTTTAAAATCCATCGCTAATTCTGTTGCTAATTAGCGACGAATTTAGCAATGAAATTAACTTTTGCTACTATTTTTAAAATCTGTCACTAAATCCGTTGCTAATTAGCGATAGATTTAGCGACGAAATTAACTTAAAAATTCTATTTGTGAAATCCGTCGCTAATTAGCGACGGATTTAGCGAAGAAATTAACTTTTGCTACTATTTGTAAAATCCGTCACTAAATCCGTCGCTAATTAGCGACAGATTTAGCGACGAAATTAACTTTAAAATACTATTTTTAAAATCCATCACTAATTAGCGACGAATTTTAATCCGTCGCTAATTAGCAATGGATTTAACGATGAAATTAACTTAAAAATACTATTTTTAAAATCCGTCACTAAATTCGTCTCTAATTAGCGTCGCTAATTAGCAACAGATTTAGCGACGAAATTAACTTTTGCTACTATTTATAAAACCCATCACTAAATTCGTCGCTAATTAGCGACAAATTTAGTGACGAAATTAACTTAAAAATACTATTTGTGAATTTCGTCACTAAATCCGTCGCTAATTAGCGATGAATTTTAATCAGTCGTTAATTAGCGACGGATTTAGTGACGAAATTAACTTAAAAATACTATTTGTGAAATCCGTCGCTAATTAGCGACGGATTTAGCGACGAAATTAACTTTCGCAACTATTTGTAAAATCCGTCGCTAATTAGCGACGGATTTAACGACGAAATCAACTTTTACGGCACTTGCGCTACTATTTTTAAAATCCGTTGCTAATTAGCGACGAATTTTAATTCGTCACTAATTAGCAATGGATTTAACGACGAAATTAACTTTCGCGGCACTTGCGCTACTATTTTTAAAATCCGTTGCTGATTAGCGACGAAATTAAACTTTCGCGAAAATCCGTCGCTAATTTCCGAAACAGCGTCGTCTTGATTTGGGGGTACAATTAGGGCTTTCTCTCGGCTCTCTCTCTCGATCGATTCTTCAAAAACAGAGTAGGGCTCTCTCTCTCTCTCTCTCTATGGATCGATTCTCGACGGGTTCCTCCGACGATTTGGCATTCTCTTTCTTCAGATTTGGTGTTCTTTAGTGCGATTTTTTGTTGGAGACAGGAACCCCTTCGGCGGACGCTCGTCCGAGAGGAACCTGAAGCGCTCGGACCGTTGCTATCATCCGAGAGTTTCGGATCTGAGGAGGATCGTCGTCGTCCGAGAGTTTTAGAGGAGGTACATTCGCGTGAATTTTTTGCACTTTTTGTCTTGGGCGAGTGCTGTTTCGGATTGTTTGGTTTCGGTTTCATTTTCGATTTGTTTGCTGTTGTTCGGTTTCAGATTGACTTGTTCGGATTGGGTCTGCTATTCGGATTGTTCGATTTCGATTTCGATTTCGGTTTCAGTTTGTTTGCTGCTGTTCGGTTTCGGATTGACTTGTTCGGATTGGGTCTGCTGTTCGGATTGTTCGGTTTCGATTTCGGTTTGTTTGCTGCTGTTCGGTTTCGGATTGACTTGTTCGGATTGGGTCTGCTGTTCGATTTCAGTTTCAGTTTGTTTGCTGCTGTTTGGTTTCGGACTGACTTGTTCGGATTGGGTCTGCTATTTGATTTCAGATTCTGTAGGGCAGAGATTGTTCGGTTTCGGATTCTGTGGGACGTTTGCTGCTGCTTCTTTTATATTGGATTTGCTGCTACTTCGTTTGTTTGCTGCTATTTCGGATTGTTCGGTTGAATGGATTGGGGGTCTGATTGGATTTTATATTAGATTGGGTCTGTTTTTTTATTAGATTGTTCGGTTTTCGAATTAGGTTTGTTTTAAGCCAAGTACCTAATTGATGCACTTACATTGGCAAACTCGGCACTTACATTGGCGAACTCAGAATGGGCTGAAATTTGGTCAGCTGTGTGGAAATGGGCAGCTGATCAATACTTACGGCTATGCCGTGATGAACGTCGTTTTTTAGCATTTCCGAGTTGTTTAGATAGGTTTCCGAGCACAAATACATTCTGTTTAGTGCGATTTTTTTTAGTCCCGTTTTTTTTAGTCCGGTTCACATGGAACTTCTGATTGTTCTTTATGTTTACACTAGAGAAAGAATGCTTGTCATCCTTAAAATCTACTGATGGTATGCTCACCATGTTCTATAATGGGTTCATGAGTTCGTCTGGATAAATAGTGGACTCATAAGCATCATATGGAACCATTGATAACTAACTTGAATTTTTCGGTTTACCCGCAATACAGTATGAATATCAACAAGAACATCATCAACATTAACATCACATCAAGCTTGGTTCGGCCTTGTTCGAAGAGCCCGTTCGCATCAACAAGAACTGCTTTCTAATGTTCATTAATTCTTTTGTTTTTTTCTTACATAGTAATCACCAAAAAGTGTTTCAATTCACTAGCTTTTTGAATGTTTTTGTAGACAGAGGTAATAACTGTTATTTGTGGCAAAAAAGATCTAAAGAAGCTCGCAGATATTTCTGGACAGCTTGCTATTTATCAGAAGCGATAGAAAGTTTGTTTCTTTTTCTCAAATTTATCTCTTACTCTCTGAAACAAAATGGTAATCTTCGTGATGTACGTTATCATGTGTCCCTATTACATGTCCATGTTTTTAAAGATATTTATCTAATCTTCCTACTTGTCAATAGAAACGTGAAGGTCACATGCATGGTGCAGTTTCACAAAGAAGAGCAGCCCCTTCCCCTTCCTCGTCCCCGTCCTTTTCCTCTTCTCTTGCCCTTTCATGTTTCCCTCAACCACTACATGCTGATGGACAACATGGACACATTGACCCTTCCTCCGACCCTCAAAACCATATTAGGGGATAATTTGGAAACATGCGAACTGAATCTACTTCAGTTCCATGTCTTTCGATTCCACCTTATTCTTCAGTGCAACACTCGAATGATGAGGGAAACACAGGTGAAGAAGATAGCTGATTCATGATATGCTCATATAGAGATTCATAAGTACTTCATTTTTTTAAGTATATGCAATATTTAGGATTTTAGATTTCAGTCAACTGAATTGTCCATGTTGCAAATTATCCGTATGCTTCATTGTTTCATTGTCCATATTGTTTTTTCTAACCTATTTGCAGATTCACGGATGCTACGTATGTTGTGAGGTAACTTAATAAAATAGTCAATAACTTTTGGAGGGGGCAGTATATTAGTTACATCAGTGCTCCAAAAGAAGTAAAGGGTTTGGGGTGGAATGAGTTAAAGGTAAGTTTTGTTCTTCTAGGTGTTTCTAGTGGCCGTGTTAGGGAACTCCCACGTCAAGTAGTAATGGATATGAACTTCAGAAAATCCATTGCCGAATTGTCAGTGCAAGGTAATGGATATGTGACCCTCATAATAACTTTCGGTTGTTTTTCTATTGATGCGTGAAGTTCGGTGCGATCAAACAATGAAAAAAAGTTTTTTAACAAAGTGAAACCATTTGAATTATTTCTTCTATTTATAAGATAAAGTTAAAAGAATTTTGAAGAAGAAAGTCGGTGATCACATACGAAATGTGATGAATAAAACAAAGATAAGTCAAGTAAAACTTCAGTATTTTATTACGGGTGACAATTGGACCGAAATTAAGAAAACTTGGAAGCGAAAGAAATAAGCAAATGAGTGAACAAAATAAGAAGAATTGAGCTTCTAATTCTAGTGCAAAAAAAAAAAAAGTAAAATTTCACATATGCCTATTTTTGGGTGAGCTCTATCAACATCGGGAGCATAGAAAAAGAATGGTAAGTCTGTTAAATAATTTTTAAATTTAATTTTTAAAAAAAAAAAATAAAATCATGTTTAAAAAATTAAATTTCCGTAAGTTAATTTAATTCAATTACTTATTTATGTTTATATTTTGTTAGGCGAGATGAATTGGGGACGATTTTTGAAAATCAAAATTTCGAAATCATATTTTACATTTAATGATTTTTACATTTTTGATTTTCGCACATTTAAAAAAAAAATGGAATAAGACATGGTGTATCACGGTTTATCGAAATCGCAAAGCTATTAAGGTATGTAAGTTTATGGAAACTAGAATGAAAATCATGAATGCTTTTAATATTTATGGTAGTTATATATATGAAGTTGTTTTATTTTCATCTATATTGTTAATGCAAGAAAAATATGATGAACTTTTAATGAGTAGTGCTAGTGATAGTGGTGGTGTTGGTGTTGCTGTGTTTGAGCCATCGGTTGATAGTATGGCATTATGGGTGGAGGCATCGGGTGGGATGAAAAGAGGAAAAATATTTGGGATGGGATTCTTGTCAACGGTATACGCAATGTAGGTTGCTGCAACTTCATCCTCCAATGTGGCTATTTCGAGGAGGACACGACTTGAGAAGCAAATGATCCAAGAATTGAGCCAACTGAAACATTTACTTGTAGAGAATGACGAAAAAATAAGAGTGGTTAAACAACAAATGCAATTGATCTTGTGACACCTCAACCTCGATCACGATGAGGTTCCTCCTGCACCTCCGGCTAATCCAATAGGTGATGGGCACAATGATAAGCGACATGATGATGATGACATTGCTGCTGATGATGATGATTTTCTTGGTCCATTTTAAGCACTAAATTTTGAGCATTATGTATTTCATCATCATAACATTATGTATTTAAGCACTAAATTTTGATGTTATTAAGTGCTTAATCAATGTTAAATATAAATTCTAGAAAATAATTTTGTTGTTAATTATATTTAAATTCGAAATCGTCCCTAAACAACATTCGTCGTTGACTTTGTCACTAAAGAATTAATAAAAATTCATTGCTAAATTCATTCCAGAACAATGTTTGTGGCAAAAGTAAAACAATTTTGTGGCAAATTAGAGACAAATTTTGTCACGAAAAATTAGCGACGAATTTTGCCATGAATAATTAGCGACGAATTTTGTCACGAATACATTTCGTGGCTAATTAGCAACGAATTTTGCCACGAGTATAGTTCATGGCTAATTAGCGACGAATTTTGCCACGAATATTTTTCGTCGCAATTTAGCGACGAAAATTGGAATTTTTCGTCGCTAAATTTTACGACGGCGAATTGGCAACGAAATTTTTTTCGTCACAAATTCGTTTAGCAACGAATTTTTTCATTTTTTTTGTGGCAAAATTCGTCGCTAAAATCTACTTTTTTTGTAGTGTTATGTGTGTGTGTAGGAAATAGAATTCTTTCTCATAGAGCAGCATACTATGCAAAGAAAAAAGATGGCCCAGTTGAATTTCTTAAAGTTCTTAGCATGTCTGCTTGCTACTCATGTGCTTCGGAATTTATACGGTTATTATCATTCGATTATTCTGTAAAATTTTCCTTTTTTCCTCAAAGAAGAAGGATCATTTGACACCGGAATTTTTGCTGATAAGCCAAGCATACGTCTTCATAAAAATAAAGAAAAAAAGGAACAAATAAATAAATAAATGAGAGAGTCCCAATTCGGCCATTAATGCAAGGACCCAAACCCATTTGCTTCAGCCCATCCATTAAGTCTAATTCGCTCACTTCAGCCCAGTCCACCAACCAGACCCCATCAGCGCGGCCCATGAAGCCCAAATTTAAATTCGCACTAAGCCACTTCCCACAGGCCCATAAGCCCGTGAGGGTTTGGCCCATAATCCAGCTATCGGCCCCGGCTCTTTCACTCTTTCTCTTTCTATTCTTTCCCTCTGGAAGTTCAAATAGGAACAGAGTGACTTGGGTGATTCCTTTTTAAGCTCTCTCGGTCCCATTCATAACGGCAGACCATTTGCACCAAGAGAGCACCTCACGAACTGACCTCACCTGAAGTTCCTTCTCTCTAGAATCGAATTTCAGAGAGAATCCATCGTCATTCCTCCTTGTCTTGTCGTCACTCACCATCGTTGATCGTCGCTTCTAGCCAGCCGTGAGCAAAGGCTCTGTTTGCCCCCTGTTCTCAGTCATTGTCGCTGAAGAGCTCGAGCTGTATTCGCCATTTGCTCTTTCGCCAGCTCCAGTCTTTGAGTTGCTCCAGTGACTGCCTTGCTCCGGTTCGGTCGGTATATTTAATCGAACCGTATCTGCTCTGGTTTTAGCAAAGCAGAGGCCAAGTATTGTTTGTTTCGTGAAAAATGAATGATTTAGAAAATATTTTCCTAAAAATGAATGAACGAAAAAATCATTTTATTTCCACGATAAATTGTTGTCGACAATGAAAGTATTTTTTTTATTAATTAATTATCTCAAGCAACACAAGCAATTATTTTTAGAAATTTTTTTTTCAAATTATTCATTTACCGTGAACCAAACGGAGTCCTGAATATAGATTGTGTGTAAATCTTATGCAACCGAGCTTCTGCTAGCGATTTGAACAGATTGTGTTGCTTTGGTGATGATGTGAAAGACGAATCGTTGACATAATTAGCGTGTGTAGATCATTAGATTAAAGCGTCAGCTATGTGATTGACGATTCTGTGAGTGGACCTGTGTACGAATTTGGGTAAAATTCTTGCATATCGGCCTCCGGTTGATCGTCACGTGTGCTCAGACTAAGACGTATATGTTTGATCCTCTCGTTGCAACTTTCAATTGATCTGCCGAGACCTCCATTCGTACGTTGCCTGCTCAGTCTTTTGCTCATTTTCAGCCTCGGTTTCAGTCCATCTCGTGCAAGTCTCATTGTCAGACATGACTATATGTCGATTGATCTTTAGAGGTGGCTGAGAATCACTTGTATGAAAATGAAATCGATCGTGATGTGTTTCTTCCAAGTCAAGAAAGTACCTCAACCATATTTGTTGGATGCCCTTGGTGATGAGTACGCAGTTTGTTGTCAAGGTATGCGCAATTTTAACTGTACGGGACTCGACTAATC